TGCAAATTAACACCACAATAAGATATCACCTCACACCCGTTAGAATGGCCACTATCCAAAAGACAAGAAATAACAAATGCTGGTGAGGGTGCAGAGAAAAAAGAACACTCCTACACTGTTGTTGGAACTGAAAATTGGTGCAACTACTGTGGAAAGCAGTATGGAGGTTCCTCAAAAAACTAAAAATAGAAGTATCATTTGACCCAGTAATTCCACTCCTAGGAAATTACCTGAAGAAAACAAAATCTCTGATTTGAAGAGATATAGGCACCCTGATGTTTATTGCTTCATTGTTTGCAATAGCCAAGATATAGAAGCAACCTAAGTGTCCATCAATAGATGAATAGATAAAGAAAAGGCAGTACATATACACAATGGAATATTATTCAGCCATAAAAAGAAAAGAACTCCTGCCGTTTGCAACAACATGAATGAATCTAGAGGTTGTTATGCTTAGGAAATAAGCCAGGCAGAGAAAGACAAATACCATATGATTTCACTTATATGTGGAATATAAAAACAAAGCAAAACAGAAGGAACAAAACAGCATCAGACACATAGACACTGAGAAGTGACTAGTGGTTACCAAGGGGGAGGGGAGCAGTCGGTGGGGGGGTGAGAGAAGGGGGAGGAGGACTGTTGAACTACTGTGATTTATATTTGATAAAATTTTTTTAAAAGTAAAAAATAAAAATAAAGGAATTGACTCATATGGTTATGCAGATTGAGAAGTCCCCGTATCTACAGCTGGAAGCTGGAGGCCCAGGACAGTAAATGGTGTAGTTCCAGTCTGAAGACCTGAGAACCAGGAGAGCTAATCGGTGTAAGTTTCAGTCTGAGTCCAAGTCCAAAGGCAGAGAAGACCAATGTCCTAGCTTAAAGACAGTCAGGCAGAAAGAGTGAATTATTTCTTGCTAAGCCTTTTGTTCTATTCAGACCTCCAATGAACTGAGTGAGCTCCACACATACTGTGAAGAGCCATCTGCTTTATTCAGTCCACCAATCAAATGTTGACCTCACCCGCAAATCCCCTCGTGACCACACCCAGAATAATGTTTTACCAGATACCTGGGCACACCATGACCCAGCCAGGTTGACATGTAAAATTAACATCACAGTTACCAAAATGGAAAAGGAGAAACCTAGGATGACCCTACGGATTAGAATTAGATACATAAATGTGAACCCACCATTATTAATAGAGAGAAATACAGATGTAATCCCCCTGGGAGGGGGCAGGGAACAATAACACCCCAATAGTAACAAACTCATCTAGCACTCAGATTTTGGTTTCTAAATGCCGTTTTTTCACAAAAGCCTCCAGAATTCTCCAGAAGAATGGCTGATTGTAAGACAGATAAAAAAAAAGGAAAAAATGAGCCTGAAACAATCGCCAGAAAATAAGGCAGTTTTCAAAGAATGATGGAACATATCAAAGGACACAAAAGCCAGCTTGACAATTTAGTACTAAAATAAATAATGATAACAAGTAACAACAGACTATTTAATAGATAATTTAATAAAGAACAAAAGACTGAGTAAAATAGGAATCCATGGGTTCATACTGATATAAGTAAATTAATGACCAAGTTGAAAGTTTGATGATTAACAGGATACTTAGAGTCTCAAAGCAACTTCCCGTAAAATATTCATTCATCACAAAGAGCAGAGAAGTAACTTTGCAGGGGGAGAAGGCTGAGAGATATCATCTTAATCTAGAGATCAAAATTAACACCATCAGTAATGGGACAAATTTAGTAGTGAAATGAAAGGAATGCAGCATCGCTTCTGGAATATTCCTAGCAAAGATGTATAACTTAATCCAATCATGGGAAGCATCAGTAAACCAAAACTGAGAGACATTCTACAAAATAATGGACTTGTTATCTTCAAAACTGTCAAGACCATCAAGTCAAAGTAAGACTGTGGAACTACCTCCAATGGAAGGAGAGTAAGAGACATGGCTGATTTTAGACTAGATTCTGTCACTATAAAAGATTTAATTGGGACAGTAAGTAAAACTCAAATGGGATCTGAGAGTTAAATGGTAGTAGTGTTTCCTGTTCATTTCCTGGCTTTGATGGTTATAATTTGGTTACATCTAAGAGTGTCCTTGTTTGTAGAAAATACACATTATTCAGGGTTGATGGTGCATCATGTCATCAACTTACTCTCAAATAGTCAAGGAGCAAAAGGTTCTTTTCACTATCCTTGCAGCTTTTCTGCAAGTTTGAGAAAGAGAGATGGAAAAAAGAGAGAGAAAGAGAAAAGACAGGGCAAGCAGACCAGGGCTAGGATCACTTAGGCAAAGCTGACAGCACTGAAGTTCATGGTATAAACCATGCTGCTGAGTCCAGACACTGCCTGGGTCATCCTGCCCAGTCTCTGAGCCAATCCTAATTAAGGCTGGGATGCATATATTAAAAACAAAATTGTATAGTGGCATCTCGTTTCCCCCCTACTATTCCCTAAGTCACATGCTCAGCCCACAGCCTGCTTGACTAGAACCTGGAAACTGCATCCAGCTCTAGCTAGGCCCTCCACCAACCAGAGGTGGTGCTCTCCAGAACCTCCAACCCCTGGCAAAAGTTAGCAGCCACCTGACTCTAAGTATCTTAACCATCAGAAACTATCTGCTGCCCCACCCAGTCCACCATAGCTCCCCTTGGATGTCTGCAGGTCCAGATCGAGCTGGAGTATGCCACAGCTTCCCACCCTATCCTTCCCTGAGGTCCCAGCATCCTTCCCAGACAAGCCCCCTTTCCCAAGCTAAAATAGAAGGAATGGATGATACCTTAGAGGCAGATCTTAGGGAATGTACATGGAGGAAGAAGCAGGCAAACAAGGAAAAGGTCGAGAGGGATGATCAGGGCAGTGGCATTCTGTGCAAACCAAAGGAGGCATTCCGGAGAGGGCAAGGGGTTCAGCAAAGTAAAGAAGTACAATGAGACTCTTTGGACTCGACCCTTGGGAGGCCACTGGTGAGCTCTGAGAGGGCATCTTCCATAGAAGGGCACAGATCAAACGATGAGAGATGATGGGTGTCAGAGGTGAAGACGATAAAGAAGTTTTCCAAGGAAAAGCAGAGGGGAGCTAGTTGTGTAAGATTTAAGACATCAAGGATTTGAGGGATATGAGGAACCCACACCATGCTTGGAGGGCTTACAGAAAACTATGGACTGAAAGTAAAACTATGTGTATGCGTGGCTGGGGATTTGGGCAGGGCCCAGAATCAGAAGGAGAGGCAAAAGATCTCACATGGAAAGCAGAGACTATCTGGGACCCCAGGGATACTTAGGGGAGTGGAAAGAATAAGTACAGACAGTGATTTTTGAGACAGGAAGAGATGTAGTGACCGCTAGTGAGAGTGGAAGCCAGGGCACCACAGACCAGCTGACCTCCAAGAATTCCGTGTTAGGGTCTCTGTAGGGTGATTAGCACAAATGCTAAGATCAGCTCTTCCACTAAGCTGGGTGCAGGTCAAGGGAAGGCACGGTGCTTTGTCTACATTTACACCACCAGTGTGTGCATGTAGTCTCCGAGGATATAGCCAAAATGAGGTCACTGAAGAAGAAGAGAAGCCTAGCAGAGAAGACGACAATATAGAGAACGTGGTCAAAAGGAACATAGTGACCCAAGAGAAAATATTCCCATGTGCCTGGGAAACATGGCCAAAGATATTTATAGAAGCATTACTTTTAATAGCATATTAGGAAACAACCAAATGCAGGCAGGCAGGGGGAGGGTAAAAAAAGTGTGGTATAGTCATAATGGAATACTATTCAGTAGCAAAAATAATTAAGCGATGGCATCAATTCAGATGCAGAAGGCACAAAAAGTCACCGTGTGATAGTATCCATGTAATGTTCAAATGGACACAAAATTGTACAATATATCATTTTATTAAATAAGCTTTCACACGGTAATGAAAAGCAAGAGAACACTAAACATGAAATTCCCTTGTCGGGAGGGACCACCAATGAGATGGGCACAGGCAGGGGGATGCTTCATCATTTCAGCCACATCCTATTTCTTAAATTGGGTGACAGGTCCAGGAGCATTTATCATATATCTTATATACATTATATTTTATTTTTGTGTGTGTGAAATATTTTATTAAAAAATAACCACATGCATTTTAAAAAGTTCCTAAGGACCATCATACAGGTCTTTCTAAGGAATCTCCTGAGAACTATGAAGACGAGATTACCTACTCCCCTTGGTTGGCCAGGGATCTAAAACTTCTGGTCTCCAAATTTCCAGCACTTCAAGTGTCTCAGCAAAATTTCAAGACAACTGGAAGAGTGTCGTTCTAACTGGCAGAATTTCAATAAGAATTCAGGGTTCTCCTTGCATCAGACAAATAGAGACAAAGAAGTGAACACTGTGAACTTTGAAAGAAAACAGTCTCTTGAGAAAAGAATCCATCCCTTGAGCAGTAACCTCAAAGTTACATGAGGAGGGAAGAAACCTGGCAGCCCCACCTCTGGGAGGAGAGGCCTGGAGAGACTGCAAAGGAGACCCTTCTTCAAGACTGCCCAGGGCCCTGTTGAGGTGAGGAAGGAGAAAGGGCTCCTGAACAAATCAGGGAACACCTATTTGCTCTCTTCAGAATCATGGAATGTTTAGCCTTGCAGGATGGGGCATCAGCTGATGCTGCTTAGGTTTCCAGCAGGCAGTACAAAGATTGGCTGGAATCCTACATGCTTGTTTTTCCAACTGAACTCACTCACACAGGAGTGAAAGCCCTCCTCCCCCCTCAGCTCCCTCTCCATCTCCAAGGCTGAACTTCATGCACAGGGCGAGCCAACCAGATGCAAAGGAGGGCAGGGCTAGCATTCGAGAGATCATGAGCCCCAGCCATAGAGATCATGAGACCCGGCCACAGGGAGCCAGAACCTAATTGAGGCAGGTGGTGGGGCAGTTTACCACAAGTTCCCAAAAAGTCACCCCCTGAGCTGCTTGGTGCCTCCAGGCCCCATTCTTCACCTTTGCTCCCACCTCATCTTTTCATTGCCAAGAACATCCACTCCAGCAGCGAAGCGCCATCTGATAATACCACACAACACAAGGCCCCAGGCTGGGGCTGAAGTTCACTGAAGACACTAGACTATAAATAAATGATAAAACATGAGAGAAAGGTCAGGCTCCAGGAAAACACTGCTCATAAATCCCCTTGAAGCTGATTGCTCCATCTAGAAGCAGATTAAGTGTAAAATACTGATCTTGAATGGGGTCCAGCCTAAATTTATACAGCTTAAGGGCTTTCTGGAAGGGCTGTGTTCTTTGTAAGGAAGGAAGTGGGTTAGGAAATGCAGTGCTGATGAAGGGTCCTGGAAGGAGGGGGTGAGCCAGTTCCATCCACCAAGTGGGGTATCCAAGATCCACTGGAGAAGGACATCCTTCCTGATATAGGGCAGGTGCTAGTTCTTAGGGTGCAGACAGTATAGTTGTTGGGGTGTTGTGGCACCACAGATCTGGTGCTGTGGTGGATTGTTTTCCTAAATAGTGTATTTTGTGAGATGATAGGGAGGAAAACTTTGGGTTGCAAAGTACAAAGCTGTTTAAAGTATGGAGGCAGAAGAACTATGCATGACTTTGACCATTTCACGGAACCACTCAGTCTCAGTTTATCTCATCCATGCAAGCAGGGATAACTCTAGGATCTATGTTAAAAGATGTTGTGGGGATTAAATGGGAGGACACATGTGAAGTTCTTGGCGTGAGGCCTAGACCATATGAACTGCTCCATAAATGTTAGTTGTCACCACCGTGATCATAATCACCGTCATTATTCACTTGGGTGAATAAGACAGGCTGTAGGTCTGAAGGTTGCTAGAGAAGGTAACGTGGGCCAGGAAAGGACCTGCTCATTTGATGGAACTCTGTAAGTTCACTGAGAGCTCATAGGGTTCCTAGAAACTAATATTAAGGAGGACTCTGGGGTCTGAATGATGAGTGACAAATCAGTGATATCTTTCCTTGGGTAGCAGGACAAGATGGACTGACAGACGAACTGCAGAGAATGCCATGTCACTGAGAGATGAGCCATTCATTCTCCCATCCAGTAAGTATTCACTAGCACCTACCTACTCTGTGCCACACTGTGTTCTTGGCAACAGGGCTATAGTGCCGAGCAAGCAAACAAAGCCCTTGTCTCCATGAGCTTTCTGAGAAAGATGCAGGAGCTAAGAGGCAGGCAGAGACCTGAAAGATGCCTGCAGCCAAGGGAGGAGTGCGGCTATCATGGGCTAAGTGGGCATCTGTTAGAGCTCTGTGCTGTTTCTATGGAAGTCCTTTGGAAGGGAAATCTGAAGCCATATGGAGGGAAAAGTAAACAAAGACTTTGGAGCCAGTCAGCACAGGGTTTGAGTCTTGGTTTAGCTCTGCTGTGTGCATGAGATCTATGAGAAGCAGGTTTCTTGATTAAAAAAAAATATATGGCAATAACTTCCTTCCAGAGTGCAGCAAGGATTAAAAATGACACCTACCAAGCACTTAGTTTTATGGCTAATATATAGTATGTATTCAATAAAGTAAAGCCACTTTTCTACTTAGGCAGTTTGTATTTTTGGTCATTATTTCCTCACTTACATCTTCTGGTTTTTAGTAATGTTCCTTTGAAAACATCAGCCTGTCTCAATGGAGGAACAGGAAGGCACAGACCCCTACCCAAGCTGTGGGGGTACAGGGAGTCATGCGCCGTAAGTGTCTGAGAGTTAGTGTGTGCTGGGCATGAGGTCCTAGGCAGAGGCCCTGGAGGAAAATGTCAGCCTCAGAGGAAGTTGTATTTTGGTGAGGAAAGGTGTCCTTTTAGGTCCCAAGAATGATGTTGGGCAAAACAGGTGGTCAGAGGCACAGTCGGGATCATGATAACTAAAGTGCACATGGGTATGGCTTTCAGAGGCTTGCACCTGATGTCCCATTATCCTCCAGCTTAGCTCAAGGGGGAGTGTTTTGTTCCCCATTATGCTGCTTGTACACCAGAACTAGGGGCAAACCATCACCTTTACTATTGTTGTTACTGTTTAGTACTTTGCTGTCCACATCAGCTTTTTTATTTAATTGTGATAAAATGCATATAAAATTTACCATCTTAACCACTTTAATATACAGTTCAGTGACATTAAGTATGCTCACATTGTTGTGCAATTATTGCCTCTTCTGGGCCTCAAAGTCCCATGACTGGTGGAAGCTGGGCCCCAGTATCCACGTTCTTGCTGAACCCCAGCTCCGAGTCCTCATTTCTAGGCCCTGGGACTGCTCTGGTTCTGTTCCCCAAATTCGTGGGGTGTTTCTCGCTGCAAACGGACCATGGGTTTGGGCACAGGATTAAAGCTGAGGACTGCTATACTCTTCACCTTTCATCTGGTATACAGTTTCTGTGAAATTTAACATCTTTCACCTGCTTCTGACACACATTTACCAGGATATGACTCAAATCGAGCTCCACTTGGCTGACATCTGCTTTTCCAACCCTGCCTGACTCGGCAGGGAAGCTAGTATCTGGCAGAGGGAATGCTGTCGGATTGCTGTTCCTGGCAAAGGAGAGCAGGGTCTGCTGCCTCACATCGCAAGGGACGAAGCAGGGTTCCCGGTTCTTCTCCCGGAGCCTCTGCTAACGCTCTGTGGGGTTTTTCAGGAAGTCACTTTGTGCTCCACTATCTGTCAAGAATAAGAATAACAAAATCAGTTTCTGTATACAGTTCCTCAGGGGTGATTCATGCAACCTCAAATACTTTCAGGCCCTCTGGATTCAAAACGTTCAAGAAAGGCTAACTCTATTTTAGGAAACTGATGTGATTTTTAATTATGACAATAATTCATACAGATTTAGTCCCTGATTGGTGACAGCCATTGTGCTAGGAAGGCAGGTCCTTAGGTGGCCCAAAAGATGGTTCCCAGACCAGAGTTTATCCCCCAAGATGAGACATGGTGGGATCTCTGATACTCTTTCCAGACACTGTCTCTATTAAGTTCCTAAAGGGCCAGTTAGCCAGGGATGCTCACAGAATGAAAGGACCCCATGATATTGCCTGGACTTGACCCAAGCAACCTGGACTAGCCCACATGCCATGATCCAGAAATCCTTCTGTCACTCTTACTTAAGGCCACGGTCCACAGAAAATACTAGGCAACCTCCCACGTGCCCTCTTCTCAAGTGTCAAGCCCTGGTGTGGGCCTCAGCCTGCCCACTCCAATGGCAGAAGGGGAAATGAGGACAGAGAGAAGCAGGGATGGAAAGAGAGCCACTGATGGGAGAAAGCCACCCATGTCTCTTGTCTCCTGTGTTTTCCCTCTGACCTCAGTGGCCTACTGAGGTGGCCCTCAAGGCTCTGTCCTCCCCCACATGTGAAAGAGTGCCTCCTCCTCCCAGGATTGGGAGCTGGTGTCCATCCATGTTTTGAGTTTGTGATTAACAAATCTCCTAAATCTCTGACCATGGGACTCTTACAGAATTATAGGAAGAAGTTAGGGTCTCCCCACTTTGAGGAAACTTCACAAAGGGGGCCTCAGGGACACATCTCTGTGGTGCTTTGCCTTATACTTCCCCAGTAGTGTGCTGTGTTGTCAGCTAAGAACACTGAAGACGTTTCTTCTGATTGCTACACAACTGCCTTCAGTTCAGGCATGAGAATTTATCAAGGTCAGAAAGTGTACCCTAAGCGCTCATGGGTCATCTATGTCAGATAACATGACATAAGCTCAGAGAGGACATGTCTTGTCTTTCTCCCCCTCACATCACCAAATGGAAATGCCACCACTGGATTGCACTCATTCCTGTATGTGGACATTCTTTCACTGACGTCTTTGACAAATTCTTCCCTGATCTCCATACCTAATTTAAGCACCCAGTTGTCATCCTGCTAAACAGCTAGTGAAGCAGTTGCCTTCTTCCTGTGATCGCAGTCCTTTTGCCTTGGTCAAGGGTCCACACAGCTTCATTCACCAAGTAACCAAGTCAACCCCATGACAGCACAGCCCATAGGCCTTCACCTATCTAATGAGTCACCCACACAGACAGCACAAGTGGTCACAGCTCAGAGGACATCTCTCACTGCTAAAGAGGATGTCCCACTTACTACCTTATTATTGGATCACAGAGGAAATGAATCTGGACAGCAGAAATAGTAAGAAAAACTTAAAGATTTAATTTCCTGAAAGTTTAACATAAGGTTAAGGCTTCCAAACAAAAAACTAACAGATTCTCAGGATACAGAACGCAAAACACAGAAGCCACCTCCTCTGTGCCTCTGTCTCTCCATAGAGTCACTGGCCCACACTTGCGATATGCCTTGATTCACTTACAGACATCACCCTTCAAGAGAGGTGTTAGAACACATAGGAATCATTGAAAAAACAAGACATGGTCTCAATGAAGAAAGTGGATAATGTCTTGGGGGAATAATGGGGCAAAAGCCATAAATGAGATCTTAAAGACTTATTACAGGACTGAGAGCAGAAATGAGTCTAATGGGTAGATACTACACTTCTGCCCTATAATAAAAAATGTTTCTAACAGAACTGTCTGCAATTGAACAGTCTGTTCCATGTCTCTGGGGTGTTTATAAACAACCACTGAATAACCACATGACATAATACTGTAAAGACAATCCTTATGTTAGGAGGTAGGTCTAACTAAACGAGATCTAAGCTCTGTATTAACTCATAGATTTTCTCCCCATCTTATGGATAAATGAAGGGAGAGCCTGTTCCACAACCTGTAAAGCAGTTTCTAGAGCAGGAAGCAACATTTTCAACAGGGTGGGTCTAGGAAAACAAAGCTCCTTGGGATCAGGAGTTGGGATGGAGAAGATGGCGAGGGAGAAGACTGGCATGGAGCTACTAAGAGGGGAGGGAAGAAGTCCCACTGGAGAAAGGAAATCACAAGCACGAAGATGGAATGTGGTTCCCAAGACTCTGAGGGAGTTTTGATGGCCTGGAGAGGAACTTTATGAGGAAAGTTTCTCCAATAAAATGAAAAGACAAACTTCATGAAGGAATTTACTGCTCATAAACCAAAGGCTGAGAACCTAACTACGAAGAGCAGGGATCAACCTCAGCGTCCCTCAGGCCTGCTATCCCAGGTCACTGGACACTTGTTGGCTAGTTTTGCCTCTGTAGCACAGAGTGATCATCTGAAACATCCTTCAGCTCCTCTTCTTCTTCCCTTACCTTCTCTGTTTATTTTCTCTATGCTCTGCAAACGAATGAGAACCAAGGAGCACACCATCCAAGAAAACCAAGAATCTGACAGCCGCCACCACTGCTTGCTATCAGCTAAGCGTAGCATAGGGTCCATGTCCTGTGCCTGAGATTTGCATGACACATCCCAATGGCACTGGAGAGCAAAACCAAACCAGGTTAGAAAGGGAAGGTGACAGGAACATGTGGAGGCAGCCCAGGCAAAGTGGTGAGAAGAGGAGCCATCTTAGTTACTGTTCGCCAAACCTACCCACCCCACCTACCCCATCTCCTTTGCATTGTAAGACTCAAGTTTCCCTTGGCCTTTCCTCTCTTCCCTCATCAAAATCTGATCCTGGAGAAATAACTTGATTATTCACTCATTTATTCAACAAATACACAATGGGCACCTACTGGACAGTGCCTGCTTATGTACCAGGTATTGCAGTAGGTAAATAGCAATCATTTGCAGCTTCTCATAGGAGTGGTTGCATTTCAAGTCTTTCAAAACTTGTTCCCATACCATATAATTTATCCTTTTAAAGTATACAATTCAGCAGTGGTTTAATAGCTAAAAAAATTGTACAACCATAACCACTATCTAATTCTAGAATTTGTTCATCACCCCAGAAAGAAACCCCCTACCCTTTAGCAGCCATTCTCCAGTCTTCCCTTCCCCCAGCTCTTGACAACCACCAATTAACTTTTTGTCTCTATGGATTTTCCTATTCTAAGTATTTCATATAAATGGAATCATATGTGACTTTTTGTGTCTTGCTTCTTTCACTTAGCATAATGTGTTCAAAGTTATCATGTTGTAGCATATATTGGTAGTTCGGTTCTTTTTATGGTTGAATAATATTTCATTGTATGGATGTACCATACTTCGTTTACACATTCAGCAAGTTTTGAACATTTGGGTTATTCCCCTTTTTAGCTATTATGAAGAATGCTGGTATAAACATTATTGTACACATTTTTGTGTGTACATGTTTTTAGTTCTCTTGGTTATATACCTTGGAGTGGAATTGCTGGATTATATGGTAACTCAATGTTTAGCTTTTTGAGGGACTGACAAACTGTTTTCCCAAGTGGCTATACCAGTTTAGATTCCCAAGAGAAAGATACAAGCGTTCCAATGTTTCCCATCCTCACCAACACTTGTGATTGCCCATTATTTATATATATCCATCCTGGTGGGTGTGAAATGCTATCTCATTGTGCTTTTGAGTTCCATTTCCCTAATAACTAGTGATATTGTTATTCACTTTTTTCCTCTTCTTATTGGCCACTTATATACCTTCTTTAGAGAAATTGTGTTCAAATCCTTTGCCCATTTTTTAATTGGGATAATTATCTTTTTATATTGAGGTTTTTTTTTTTATTATTCTGGCTACTAGATCCTTATGATACATGATTTATAAATATATTCTCCCATTCTGTGGGTCTTTCACTTTCTTGATTGTGGCTTTTGAAGCACAATATTTTTTATTTTGATGAAGTCTAATTTATTTATTCTTTTCTTTGGTTGTTTGTGCTTTGGGTGTCATACGTAGGAACCATTGTCTAATCCAAATCATGAAGATCTGTGGCTACATTTTCTCTTAGAGTTTTATGGTTTTAGTTCTCACCTGTAGGTCTATGATCCAGTTTCAGTTATTTTTGTATATGATGTGAGGTAGGAGTCCAGATTCATTATTTTGTATGCGGATATCCAGTTGCACCATTTGTTAAAAAGACTATTCATTCCCCATTGAATTGTCCTGGTCCACTTGTTGAAATTAATGGACCATAAAGGGAAGGGGTTTCTTCTGGACTCTCAGTTCTATTCCTTTGATCTGTTTCTCCTTATGCCACATCCACACAGTCTTCATTGCCATAACTTTACAGTAAGTTTAGAAATTGAGAAAGCATAAATACTCCAACTTTATTCTTCTATTTCAAGATTTTCTGAGCTACTCTGCATTCCTTGAATCTACATATGAATTCTAGGAAAAACTTGTCAATTTAAAAGAAAAAAAAGCAGCTGAGATAGTGATAGGGATTGCACTGAATCTGTAGACCAATCCACAAATCAAGATGTCTTTCCATTTATTTAGGTGTTGTTTGATTTCTTTCCATAATGTCTTATAGTTTTCAATATACAAGTCACACTTCTTTTGTTAAATTGATTTTCCTTGGTGCTTTTGTAAATGGATTTTTCAAATTTTATTTTTGCATCATTCATTCCTAGAATATAAAAATATAATAGACTTCTGTATTTTGAGCTTATATCCTACAATCTTGCTGAATTCATTTATGAGCTCTAATAGTTTTATGTGCATGTTTTAGGATTATCTATATACAAAATCATGTCACCTGCAGATAGAGATAGTTTTACTTTTTTCTTTCCAGTATAGATACCTTTTCAAGTCTTATTTCTTATTGTGCAGTGGAACATTTTATCCCTCCATCAACTAATTTCAGGCACCAAGAACATA